TTTTAAAAAATAGTGTAACATAATAGGGCACAAAAAATGGTTTAACACAAACAACAGTCCTGTCGGATTTACAACCCTTTTTACTGCCTTCAACTCATCCATCATTGGTTTGTCTATTTGAGCGAAAGAAAAATAATAGCAATGGTAATCGACTGCTGTAAATATAAAGATTTGACTCGAAGCAGACAGTCTAGGCACAAGAATGAACTATAATAAGTTAATACTAATAAAAAATATTCTATAAAATGAAATTTTCATATCGATGTATAATAGGGCTACAAGTCTGGGGGTATCTGCATGAACAGAGAATTTGATGGATATCCAGTAGAGGTACGAACACCTCTCTACCGGTAACCCTCCCGTGCACGAACTCAAGGGGAGGTTGTTTCCAATTATACTCAGTTTTGCAAACATAGTTCGACCAGAAGTGGGTAGCTGGATGCATTTGTGTGTTGGTGGTGCAGGGTGCATATGAGTGTTGGGTGGGTGTAGGGTGTATCTGTGTTAGTGGGGTGCAAGCGGGTAGGTGGGCGCATGTGCAAAGAATGTAACTGCAACCTTAACCCTAAACTAATGCTCCCCTAATCAAACCCCAACTTCTCAATAACCACGCATTTACTCTAACCCTATCCATAAGGCTTTATTAAGCCAACCCTAAACCTAGTCGTAACCTTTTACCCTAGACCTTAATCTAAACCCTAAACCCTCCCCCAACCCCAACCCCAACAGTAACACTTAACTGCAACCTTAACCCTAAACTAATGCTCTCCTAATCAAACCCCAACTTCTCAATAACCACGCATTTACCCTAACCCTATCCATAAGGCTTTATTAAGCCAACCATAAACCTAGTCGTAACCTTTTACCACACCTTAATCTAAACCCTAAACCCCCCCCCCACCCCCAACCCCAACCCCAACAGTAACCCCCACGGTAACACTAACCCTTACCCCCATTGCCCTTCCTCCTATTTTACTCTCACCTTTTTGTCATCATCAAAAGAGAATGCTTTTTTTCCCTTATCCCCCATTATTAGAAGGCAATGACATGTGATCAATGCACATGTTGATCCTTAAATTAGCGTCCTTATCAAAAACTACATAAGCATCTGATGACTCAACTACAGCGGTCAGAAGGTTGGATATTTTGCTCCAGCAGGTAAAAACTACATAAGCATCTGATGACTCAACTACAGCGGTCAGAAGGTTGGATATTTTGCTCCAGCAGGTGATAAGATCAAGGTCGTATCCTAAAAGTTAATATCCAGAATCAAAGCATGGTAAGATAGATTTGAATTAACCCCTTAAAACGTATGGACTCGGGGATCATGACACAGATAACCAGTAAATTCTATACGACGACTTTATCGTCATAAAAATTTGTATGGAGGGCAAAGACTAAATTTTGCAGCTGGGAGTGCCCGACTGTCAACTCTGTTAACTTGATTCTCGCATACATTTGCATATCATGATAGTTCTCTCTATAGGGTAAAAAAGTTGAGTGTGCAATAATGTAACTCTTGTTCAAGTTCTTAAATTCGTACCAGCATAATTTATTTGATGTCTGGTCAAACTTAACGAAGCCCACTAGATAAACATCAAGACAACGAATGCGAAAAAAAGTTTGATACGTATTTTTGAAATGCAACATCACGGTGATAAAACAATATACCTGTCTGCTGAGCAGGGAGACCTTCATACCCTCGTCCGTCTCATCAGAATTAAGAAATTCTGAGTGGAGACGCAGACGAGTTCCCCGGATAAAATCCACGTACACTTCAGGGTCACTCTGGATACATCCGGAGAGAGATAGTACTCGGGGACAACCTCCATTAGGGTTTGCGAGAAAGAGAGCGAGAGAGAGATTGAGATTAGAGCAAAATTGATTGGAAAAAGATCGGATGAAGAAAATCGAGTGAGCTGTGAAACTTCGAAGCGAAGGAATGATTAATAACCTTCATCGTTCTAACCCTAATCCTAGTCGACAACGGATTTTGAAAACTTTGAATCGAAGGAATGACTAATAATCGATCTCAGCCATTGCCTCCCTCCCTCGCTCGTTCGCTCTCAGCTACTCCTGATATTACATATAGCATGCAGCGACTCCTGATATTAGCCATTCTTATCTTTGTTTATGTTAGAATATAAGTAATCTTGTGCCTCAAATTTTCCACCGCCTTTTATGTAAGAAAGTATTGTTACTCTCTATTTTACTGTTTAGCGTGACGATGTTATTTGCAATTGATTCCTATCTAAATTCTGTCTTTGAGAGTAAAAACCCAAAGCATCTGTAAGTTTGTTAATGAGTTAGTTGGTTGGTTGGGTAGCTTTTTTAATGCCCATTTGTTTCACTGTTCCATTCAGATTCCTGGCTACAGTTCTGGCTACAGTTCTGCCAATTCTGATCAGTGCCATCGTACTCGGCAAGCATCTAGGTGAATGCAATCATGCCCATACTGTAGATAATTCGTTAATACCAAAAACCACTTGTATTTTTAATCATTCCTTCGATTCGAAGTTTACAAATCCGTCGCTGACTAGGGTTAGGGTTAGAACAATGGTTATTAATCCTTCCTTCGCTTTGAAGATCTTTTTCTAATTAATTTTGCTCTAATCTCAATCTTGCTCTCGCTCTCTCTCGCAAACCCTAATGGAGATCGTCCTCGAGTACGATCTCTCTCTGGATGTATCCCAAAGTGACCCTGAAGTGTACGTGGATTTTATCCGGGGAACTCGTCTGCGTCTCCACTCAGAATTTCTTAATTCTGATGAGACGGACGAGGGTATGAAGGTCTCCCTGCTCAGCAGACAGGTATATTGTTTTATCACCGTGATGTTGCATTTCAAAAATACGTATCAAACTTTTTTTCGCATTCGTTAGTTTGACCAGACATCAAACAAATTATGCTGGTATGAATTTAGGAACCCGAACAAGACGCACATTATTACACACTTAACTTTTTTACCCTGTAGAGAGAACTATCATGATATGCAAAGGTATGCGGGAATCAAGTTAACGGAGTTGACAGTCGGACACTTCCAGCTGTAAAATTTGGTCTTTGCCCTCCACACAAGTTCTTATGACGATAAAGTCATCGTAAAGAATTTACTAGTTATATGTGTCATGATCCCCGAGTCCATACGTTTTAAGGGGTTAATTCAAATCTATCTTACCATGCTTTGATTCTGGATATTAACTTTTAGGATACGACCTTGATCTTATCACCTGCTGGAGCAAAATATCCAACCTTCTGACCGCTGTAGTTGAGTCATCAGATGCTTATGTAGTTTTTGATAAGGACGCTAATTTAAGGATCAACATGTGCATTGATCACATGTCATTGCCTTCTAATAATGGGGGATAAGGGAAAAATAAAGCATTCCCTTTTGATGATGATAAAAAAGTGAGAAGTAAAATAGGAGGAAGGACAAGGGAGCAAGGGTTACCTAATTTCCAAGATAGAATCTTCAAACATCGAGCCCTGGATCCAATGATCAAAGCCCCAAATAAACTTTTTCATACCTGATAAACGAATCTGAACACAAAACCCAAAAACTAAAGCAAAATTTAGGGATCGCGAATGAAATTTAAACCATCTGATCAACCCTAGTCAAATCCCTAAAACACCATCAAAATTGCTAAAATTGTGATATTCAATAGTAAGAGACATATAATCAGATCATGGATTCGTAAACCCTAGCTCCCCCTATTAGAAACCCTAATCCCAACCAATCATCATCATCCACAACCAAATTCCAATCCAAAACCCTAACACTAAGTCAAAATTCTAAGTATCTGAATCAAATTCAAACAAACTGATCAACACCAGCCAGATCCCTAAACACAACCGAAATCGCTAAAATTGAGCTCAAAATCTAGGGTTTCAATCCGACAAATCAAAAGATAACGAGATCAATTCGATACCTTGAAGCCTTTCAGCATAACCTCCTTCGGTTCGCTGGGATGGAATCCAGGGCCAAAATCTCGCCGTAATCGAGGGAGGAGGGATTTAGGAGAATCGAGGGGGGGAAATTAAAATAAGTTTCCCTGATATATACCCAAGTTGTCGGTATACTGTTTAGTTTAATAATTTGCATAACCATACAATTAGGGACTGTTTAGTTTAAAACAAAAGGTAACCAAATCAATATAACTCTAGTTATAAAAGAAACAAACAATTTGTAGCTTTAGTTGTAGTTATACCTGTAAATAACCAAAACGCCCATTAATGTACTTATGATGATGGAAGAAATGACAGGAGAATAATTATTATCGGAGCAAGTGGCTGGTCTGCAGCCGAAAATGATAGCATAGAGGTACAAGTCTGAAGAGAATAAATCTTAGAATTCTGATGTTGATATATCATGTTCCACCAAAAATGGGCCTTGCAGACCAAAGGGATTTTCATGTTACCACAAGTTGCCCAAGCTTATAATCATAAAACAAATCTTCTTTCAGCATCATCTTTGTCATTTTATTTATTTATTTTTATTTTTTGGGTGAGGAAATGATCATGGTCAAGGACGGCAATTCTAGTTTCACATCAGCAGAAATAGAATCCAAAGATATGATTAGACTTTCACTTCTAAGTCCTTTTCAAAAGATGCTAGCTTCTTAATGGCCCTTTTTTACCTTTGCTGAGAGAAAAGGGTGGAGTATTCTTTAATGGCTTTGCTTCCAGCTTCATAACCTGCTCCAAAATATCGACAGAAGTGTTATTAAAGGAGGAGGAATAACATGGCTGAAACAAGTCATAAGATTGATATTTCAAGAAACAACATGCTGTTAACACATTTTATGAACAAGAAATGTGTTATAGGGTTAGAAGATACTGACCAGAAACAAAACCCTCAACTTGCAATCTCTATTGTGTTTGTCAGAGATACTTCTACCAGTTTTCCAAAAACTACAAACATGTGTTAGCCTCCAACGTATAGAATGAACCTGAATCAGGACACCTATCACAGAGAAAAAATGAAAAAGATCCCAATATAATCAGATCATGGATTCGTAAACCCTAGCTCCCCCTATTAGAAACCCTAATCCCAACCAATCATCATCATCCACAACCAAATTCCAATCCAAAACCCTAACACTAAGTCAAAATTCTAAGTATCTGAATCAAATTCAAACAAACTGATCAACACCAGCCAGATCCCTAAACACAACCGAAATCGCTAAAATTGAGCTCAAAATCTAGGGTTTCAATCCGACAAATCAAAAGATAACGAGATCAATTCGATACCTTGAAGCCTTTCAGCATAACCTCCTTCGGTTCGCTGGGATGGAATCCAGGGCCAAAATCTCGCCGTAATCGAGGGAGGAGGGATTTAGGAGAATCGAGGGGGGGAAATTAAAATAAGTTTCCCTGATATATACCCAAGTTGTCGGTATACTGTTTAGTTTAATAATTTGCATAACCATACAATTAGGGACTGTTTAGTTTAAAACAAAAGGTAACCAAATCAATATAACTCTAGCTATAAAAGAAACAAACAATTTGTAGCTTTAGTTGTAGTTATACCTGTAAATAACCAAAACGCCCATTAATGTACTTATGATGATGGAAGAAATGACAGGAGAATAATTATTATCGGAGCAAGTGGCTGGTCTGCAGCCGAAAATGATAGCAAAGAGGTACAACTTTTAAGAGAATAAATCTTAGAATTCTGATGTTGATATATCATGTTCCACCAAAAATGGGCCTTGCAGACCAAAGGGATTTTCATGTTACCACAAGTTGCCCAAGCTTATAATCATAAAACAAATCTTCTTTCAGCATCATCTTTGTCATTTTATTTATTTATTTTTATTTTTTGGGTGAGGAAATGATCATGGTCAAGGACGGCAATTCTAGTTTCACATCAGCAGAAATAGAATCCAAAGATATGATTAGACTTTCACTTCTAAGTCCTTTTCAAAAGATGCTAGCTTCTTAATGGCCCTTTTTTACCTTTGCTGAGAGAAAAGGGTGGAGTATTCTTTAATGGCTTTGCTTCCAGCTTCATAACCTGCTCCAAAATATCGACAGAAGTGTTATTAAAGGAGGAGGAATAACATGGCTGAAACAAGTCATACGATTGATATTTCAAGAATCAACATGCTGTTGTTAACACATTTTATGAACAAGAAATGTGTTATAGGGTTAGAAGATACTGACCAGAAACAAAACCCTCAACTTGCAATCTCTATTGTGTTTGTCAGAGAGATACTTCTACCAGTTTTCCAAAAACTACAAACATGTGTTAGCCTCCAACGTATAGAATGAACCTGAATCAGGACACCTATCACAGAGAAAAAATGAAAAAGATCCCATCTTTATCCATAATTTCAAGATTTAAACAGATGGGCAGTCTAGAATCTTAGATTCATGCTAATCTAAAAGGAGAAAAAAATGACCTTTTTACCTTGTAGATTTGGCACGTGACCTTGAGTCTGCATTGAGTAACCACAATGATTGCCCTCCAGCCAAGCTCAAACTTTTGATACATTCCGAATCTCAAACATATTGCAATTGACAAGGACCAAAATAGGTAGTTCTCCACTGGTTTGTAAATTAAACCAAATATATTGACTTGTAAAGTAAAGCAAAATGATCACGTTCATAGGCAATTTGAAACACCACCAAGCATTAAAATATACAAGTAGATGAAAGAAATGAAACCGTAAATCCATGATAAAAGCACAATCTATCTAAAGGGCTTTCGCTTCCCTCTGAGTTTCACCAACAGTGAGGAGATTATTGCGGTGCTTCTGAACTATTACCAGTTGAACTAACGGGTAAATTCAGGATTCATGCGTGAATATAGTCTCACATCGGGTAGGATAAGAAATATTTACAAGTTCAAGTAGAACTTGGGGCCAATACCTAGTAGCTATAAGCCTATAACTTTGAGGGTGATAAATGTTGATAAATAATTTGACGGATAATAGGCCTTATTCAAGGAAGAAGTGAGCAGGGTTATCTATGGTCTTTCATATGTGCCCATAAATACAGACCTACGTAAAGCAAAACGAACTTTTATAGGTGTACATAACAAAGCTGAAAAGCTCTTAAGATATACTGAAGAAATACCTCCTTAACGCTCAAAATGCTTCTCCTTTTCAATCATCATCCAACTTTGTTAGTATAGCACCAGTACAACATATAATGAAGAAATATCTCACTAAAACTTAAGATTGCTCCTCCTATTCAATCACCATCCAAATTTGTTAGTACAACACAAGTAATATCAACAAATACTAGATAGTATTAAGTGCAAATACAAAAATGTAAAGCAATTAAACAAACAACTTGGCAACAATATCAGATACAACAGATAAATATCAGTATCCTAAGCATATATATATACATATCCATTGCTCTTATGCACACAATTAACCAACCCCTACTAATATTACATTAGCAGATGCTCTTACATTATGAACAAATAATTTAAAAAAATAGTGTAACATAATAGGGCACAAAAAATGGTTTAACACAAACAACAGTCCTGTCGGATTTACAACCCTTTTTACTGCCTTCAACTCATCCATCATTGGTTTGTCTATTTGAGCGAAAGAAAAATAATAGCAATGGTAATCGACTGCTGTAAATATAAAGATTTGACTCGAAGCAGACAGTCTAGACACAAGAATGAACTATAATAAGTTAATACTAATCAAAAAAATTCTATAAAATGAAATTTTCATATCGATTTATAATAGGGCTACAAGTCTGGGGGTATCTGCATGAACAGAGAATTTGATGGATATCCAGTAGAGGTACGAACCCCTCTCTACCGGTAACCCTCCCGTGCACGAACTCAAGGGGAGGTTGTTTCCAATTATACTCAGTTTTGCAAACATAGTTCGACCAGAAGTGGGTAGCTGGATGCATTTGTGTGTTGGCGGTGCAGGGTGCATATGAGTGTTGGGTGGGTGTAGGGTGTATCTGTGTTAGTGGGGTGCAAGCGGGTAGGTGGGCGCATGTGCAAAGAATGTAACTGCAACCTTAACCCTAAACTAATGCTCCCCTAATCAAATCCCAACTTCTCAATAACCACGCATTTACTCTAACCCTATCCATAAGGCTTTATTAAGCCAACCCTAAACCTAGCCGTAACCTTTTACCCTAGACCTTAATCTAAACCCTAAACCTCCCCCCCCAACCCCAACCCCAACCCCAACAGTAACACTTAACTGCAACCTTAACCCTAAACTAATGCTCTCCTAATCAAACCATAACTTCTCAATAACCACGCATTTACCCTAACCCTATCCATAAGGCTTTATTAAGCCAACCCTAAACCTAGTCGTAACCTTTTACCCTACACCTTAATCTAAACCCTAACCCCCAACCCCAACCCTAACAGTAACCCCCACAATAACACTAACCCTTACCCCCATTGCCCTTCCTCCTATTTTACTCTCATCTTTTTGTCATCATCAAAAGGGAATGCTTTATTTTTCCCTTATCCCCCATTATTAGAAGGCAATGACATGTGATCAATGCACATGTTGATCCTTGATTTAGCGTCCTTATCAAAAACTACATAAGCATCTGATGACTCACCTACGGCGGTCAGAATGTTGGATATTTTGCTCCAGCAGGTGATAAGATCAAGGTCGTATCCTAAAAGTTAATATCCAGAATCAAAGCATGGTAAGATAGATTTGAATTAACCCCTTAAAACGTATGGACTCGGGGATCATGACACAGATAACTAGTAAATTCTTTACGACGACTTTATCGTCATAAAAATTTATATGGAGGGCAAAGACTAAATTTTGCAGCTGGGAGTGCCCGACTGTCAACTCCGTTAACTTGATTCTCGCATACCTTTGCATATCATGATAGTTCTCTCTATAGGGTAAAAAGTTGAGTGTGCAATAATGTAAATCTTGTTCAAGTTCCTAAATTCGTACCAGCATAATTTATTTGATGTCTGGTCAAACTTAACGAAGCCCACTAGATAAACATCAAGACAACGAATGCGAAAAAAAGTTTGATACGTATTTTTGAAATGCAACATCACAGTGATAAAACAATATACCTGTCTGCTGAGCAGGGAGACCTTCATCTCCTCGTCCGTCTCATCAGAATTAAGAAATTCCGAGTGGAGACGCAGACGAGTTCCCCGGATAAAATCCACGTACACTTCAGGGTCACTCTGGATACATCCGGAGAGAGATAGTACTCGGGGACAACCTCCATTAGGGTTTGCGAGAAAAAGAGCGAGAGAGAGATTAAGATTAGAGCAAAATTAATTGGAAAAAGATCGGATGAAGAAAATCGAGTGAGCTGTGAAACTTCGCGAAGAAATGATTAATAACCTTCATCGTTCTAACCTTAATCCTAGTCGACAACGGATTTGAAAACTTTGAATCGAAGGAATAATTAATAATTGATCTCAGCCATTGCCTCCCTCCCTCGCTCGTTCGCTCTCAGCTACTCCTGATATTACGTATAGCATGCAGCTACTCCTGATATTAGCCATTCTTATATTTGTTTATGTTAGAATATAAGTAATCTTGTGCCTCAAATTTTCCACCGCCTTTTATGTAAAAGTATTGTTACTCTCTATTTTACTGTTTAGCGTGACGATGTTATTTGCAATTGAATCCTATCTGAATTCTGTCTTTGAGAGTAAAACCCCAAAGCATCTGTAAGTTTGTTAATGAGTTGGTTGGTTGGTTGGTTGGGTAGCTTTTTTAATGCCCATTTGTTTCACTGTTCCATTCAGATTCCTGGCTACAGTTCTGCCAATTCTGATCAGTGCCATCGTACTCGGCAAGCATCTAGGTGAGTGCAATCATGCCCATACTGTAGATAATTCGTTAATACCAAAAACCACTTGTATTTTTAATCATTCCTTCGATTCGAAGTTCACAAATCCGTCGCTGACTAGGGTTAGGGTTAGAACAATGGTTATTAATCCTTCCTTCGCTTCGAAGATCTTTTTCTAATTAATTTTGCTCTAATCTCAATCTTGCTCTCGCTCTCTCTCGCAAACCCTAATGGAGATCGTCCTCGAGTACGATCTCTCTCTGGATGTATCCCAGAGTGACCCTGAAGTGTACGGGAATTTTATCCGGGGAACTCGCATGCGTCTCCACTCGGAATTTCTTAATCCTGATGAGACGAACGAGGAGATGAAGGTCTCCCTGCTCAGCAAACAGGTAAATTGTTTTATCACTGTGATGTTGCATTTCGAAAACATGTATCGAACTTTTTTCCGCATTCGTTGTCTTGATGTTTATCTAGTGGGCTTCGCTAAGTTCGACCAGACATCAAATAAATTATGCTAATATGAATTTAGGAACTCGAACAAGACGCACATTATTACACACTTAACTTTTTTACCCTGTAGAGAGAACTATCATGATATGCAAAGGTATGCGGGAATCAAGTTAACGGAGTTGACAGTCGGACACTTCCAGCTGTAAAATTTAGTCTTTGCCCTCCACATAAGTTCTTATGACGAGAAAGTCATCGTAAAGAATTTACTAGTTATATGTGTCATGATCCCCGAGTCCATACGTTTTAAGGGGTTATTCAAATCTATCTTAGCATGTTTTGATTCTGGATATCAACTTTCAGAATATGACATTGATCTTATCACCAGCTGGAGCAAAATGTCCAAGCTTCTGACCGTTGTAGGTGAGCGATCAGATGTTTCTGTAGTTTTTAATAAGGAGGCTAAATCAAGGATCAGCATGTGTATTGATCACATGCCATTGCCTTCTAATAATGAGGGAAAAGGGAAAAATAAAGCATTCCCTTTTGATGATGATAAAAAAGTGAGAAGTAAAATAGGAGGAAGGACAAGGGAGCAAGGGTTACCTAATTTCCAAGATAGAATCTTCAAACATCGAGCCCTGGATCCAATGATCAAAGCCCCAAATAAACTTTTTCATACCTGATAAACGAATCTGAACACAAAACTCAAAAACTAAAGCAAAATTTAGGGATCGCGAATGAAATTTAAACCATCTGATCAACCCTAGTCAAATCCCTAAAACACCATCAAAATTGCTAAAATTGTGATATTCAATAGTAAGAGATATAATCAGATCATGGATTCGTAAACCCTAGATCCCCCTATTAGAAACCCTAATCCCAACCAATCATCATCATCCACAACCAAATTCCAATCCAAAACCCTAACACTAAGTCAAAATTCTAAGTATCTGAATCAAATTCAAACAAACTGATCAACACCAGCCAGATCCCTAAACACAACCGAAATCGCTAAAATTGAGCTCAAAATCTAGGGTTTCAATCCGACAAATCAAAAGATAACGAGATCAATTCGATACCTTGAAGCCTTTCAGCATAACCTCCTTCGGTTCGCTGGGATGGAATCCAGGGCCAAAATCTCGCCGTAATCGAGGGAGGAGGGATTTAGGAGAATCGAGGGGGGGAAATTAAAATAAGTTTCCCTGATATATACCCAAGTTGTCGGTATACTGTTTAGTTTAATAATTTGCATAACCATACAATTAGGGACTGTTTAGTTTAAAACAAAAGGTAACCAAATCAATATAACTCTAGTTATAAAAGAAACAAACAATTTGTAGCTTTAGTTGTAGTTATACCTGTAAATAACCAAAACGCCCATTAATGTACTTATGATGATGGAAGAAATGACAGGAGAATAATTATTATCGGAGCAAGTGGCTGGTCTGCAGCCGAAAATGATAGCATAGAGGTACAAGTCTGAAGAGAATAAATCTTAGAATTCTGATGTTGATATATCATGTTCCACCAAAAATGGGCCTTGCAGACCAAAGGGATTTTCATGTTACCACAAGTTGCCCAAGCTTATAATCATAAAACAAATCTTCTTTCAGCATCATCTTTGTCATTTTATTTATTTATTTTTATTTTTTGGGTGAGGAAATGATCATGGTCAAGGACGGCAATTCTAGTTTCACATCAGCAGAAATAGAATCCAAAGATATGATTAGACTTTCACTTCTAAGTCCTTTTCAAAAGATGCTAGCTTCTTAATGGCCCTTTTTTACCTTTGCTGAGAGAAAAGGGTGGAGTATTCTTTAATGGCTTTGCTTCCAGCTTCATAACCTGCTCCAAAATATCGACAGAAGTGTTATTAAAGGAGGAGGAATAACATGGCTGAAACAAGTCATAAGATTGATATTTCAAGAAACAACATGCTGTTAACACATTTTATGAACAAGAAATGTGTTATAGGGTTAGAAGATACTGACCAGAAACAAAACCCTCAACTTGCAATCTCTATTGTGTTTGTCAGAGATACTTCTACCAGTTTTCCAAAAACTACAAACATGTGTTAGCCTCCAACGTATAGAATGAACCTGAATCAGGACACCTATCACAGAGAAAAAATGAAAAAGATCCCATCTTTATCCATAATTTCAAGATTTAAACAGATGGGCAGTCTAGAATCTTAGATTCATGCTAATCTAAAAGGGGGAAAAATGACCTTTTTACCTTGTAGATTTGGCACGTGACCTTGAGTCTGCATTGAGTAACCACAATGATTGATCTCCAGCCAAGCTCAAACTTTTGATACATTCCGAATCTCAAACATATTGCAATTGACAAGGACCAAAATAGGTAGTTCTCCACTGGTTTGTAAATTAAACCAAATATATTGACTTGTAAAGTAAAGCAAAATGATCACATTCATAGGCAATTTGAAACACCACCAAACATTAAAATATACATGTAGATGAAAGAAATGAACCGTAAATCCATGATAAAAGCACAATCTATCTAAAGGGCTTTCGCTTCCCTCTGAGTTTCACCAACAGTGAGGAGATTATTGCGGTGCTTCTGAACTATTACCAGTTGAACTAACGGGTAAATTCAGGATTCATGCGTGAATATAGTCTCGCATCGGGTAGGATAAGAAATATTTACAAGTTCAAGTAGAACTTGGGGCCAATACCTAGTAGTTATAAGCCTATAACTTTGAGGGTGATAAATGTTGATAAATAATTTGACGGATAATAGGCCTTATTCAAGGAAGAAGTGAGCAGGGTTATCTATGGTCTTTCATATGTGCCCATAAATACAGACCTACGTAAAGCAAAACGAACTTTTATAGGTGTACATAACAAAGCTGAAAAGCTCTTAAGATATACTGAAGAAATACCTCCTAAACGCTCAAAATGCTTCTCCTTTTCAATCATCATCCAACTTTGTTAGTATAGCACCAGTACAACATATAATGAATAAATATCTCACTAAAACTTAAGATTGCTCCTCCTATTCAATCACCATCCAAATTTGTTAGTACAACACAAGTAATATCAACAAATACTAGATAGTATTAAGTGCAAATACAAAAATGTAAAGCAATTAAACAAACAACTTGGAAACAATATCTGATACAACAGATAAATCTCAGTATCCTAAGCATATATATATACATATCCATTGCTCTTATGCACGCAATTAACCAATCCCTACTAATATTACATTAGCAGATGCTCTTACATTATGAACAAATAATTTTAAAAAATAGTGTAACATAATAGGGCACAAAAAATGGTTTAACACAAACAACAGTCCTGTCGGATTTACAACCCTTTTTACTGCCTTCAACTCATCCATCATTGGTTTGTCTATTTGAGCGAAAGAAAAATAATAGCAATGGTAATCGATGCTCTTATGCACGCAATTAACCAACCCCTACTAATATTACATTAGCAGATGCTCTTACATTATGAACAAATAATTTTAAAAAATAGTGTAACATAATAGGGCACAAAAAATGGTTTAACACAAACAACAGTCCTGTCGGATTTACAACCCTTTTTACTGCCTTCAACTCATCCATCATTGGTTTGTCTATTTGAGCGAAAGAAAAAGAATAGCAATGGTAATCGACGGCTGTAAATATAAAGATTTGACTCGAAGCAGACAGTCTAGACACAAGAATGAACTATAATAAGTTAATACTAATCAAAAATATTCTATAAAATGAAATTTTCATATCGATTTATAATAGGGCTACAAGTCATGGGGTATCTGCATGAACAGAGAATTTGATGGATATCCAGTAGAGGTACGAACCCCTCTCTATCGGTAACCCTCCCGTGCACGAACTCAAGGGGAGGTTGTTTCCAATTATACTCAGTTTTGTAAACATAGTTCGACCAGAAGTGGGTAGCTGGATGCATTTGTGTGTTGGCGGTGCAGGGTGCATATGAGTGTTGGGTGGGTGTAGGGTGTATCTGTGTTAGTGGGGTGCAAGCGGGTAGGTGGGCGCATGTGCAAAGAATGTAACTGCAACCTTAACCCTAAACTAATGCTCCCCTAATCAAACCCCAACTTCTCAATAACCACGCATTTCCCCTAACCCTATCCATAAGGCTTTATTAAGCCAACCCTAAACCTAGCCGTAACCTTTTACCCTAGACCTTAATCTAAACCCTAAACCCACCCCCCACAACCCCAACCCCAACACTTAACTGCAACCTTAACCCTAAACTAATGCTCTCCTAATCAAACCCCAACTTCTCAATAACCACGCATTTACCCTAACCCTATCCATAAGGCTTTATTAAGCCAACCATAAACCTAGCCGTAACCTTTTACCCTAAGCCTTAATCTAAACCCTAAACCCTCACCCCTCAACCCCAACCGCAACCCCAACAGTAACACTTAACCCTAAACTAATGCTCTCCTAATCAAACCTCAACTTCTCAATAACCACGCATTTACCCTAACCCTATCCATAAGACTTTATTAAACCAACCCTAAACCTAGTCGTAACCTTTTACCCTACACCTTAATCTAAACCCTAACCCCCAACCCCAACCCTAATAGTAACCCCGACAGTAACACTAACCCTTACCCCCATTGCCCTTCCTCCTATTTTACTCTCACCTTTATGTCATCATCAAAAGGGAATGCTTTATTTTTCCCTTATCCCCCATTATTAGAAGGCAATGACATGTGATCAATGCACATGTTGATCCTTGATTTAGCGTCCTTATCAAAAACTACATAAGCATCTGATGACTCACCTACGACGGTCAGAAGGTTGGATATTTTGCTCCAGTAGGTGATAAGATCAAGGTCGTATCCTAAAAGTTAATATCCAGAATCAAAGCATGGTAAGATAGATTTGAATTAACCCCTTAAAACGTATGAACTCGGGGATCATGACACAGATAACTAGTAATTTCTTTACGACGACTTTATCGTCATAAAAATTTATATGGAGGGCAAAGACTAAATTTTGCAGCTGGGAGTGCCCGACTGTCAACTCCGTTAACTTGATTCTCGCATACCTTTGCATATCATGATAGTTCTCTCTATAGGGTAAAAAAGTTGAGTGTGCAATAATATAAATCTTGTTCAAGTTCCTAAATTCGTACCAGCATAATTTATTTGATGTCTGGTCAAACTTAATGAAGCCCACTAGATAAACATCAAGACAACGAATGCGAAAAAAAGTTTGATACGTATTTTTGAAATGCAACATCACAGTGATAAAACAATATACCTGTCTGCTGAGCAGGGAGACCTTCATCTCCTCGTCCGTCTCATCAGAATTAAGAAATTCCGAGTGGAGACGCAGACGAGTTCCCCGGATAAAATCCACGTACACTTCAGGGTCACTCTGGATACATCCGGAGAGAGATAGTACTCGGGGACAACCTCCATTAGGGTTTGCGAGAAAAAGAACGAGAGAGATTAAGATTAGAGCAAAATTAATTGGAAAAAGATCGGATGAAGAAAATCGAGTGAGCTGTGAAACTTCGAAGCGAAGAAATGATTAATAACCTTCATCGTTCTAACCCTAATCCTAGTCGACAACGGATTTAAAAACTTTGAATCGAAGGAATGATTAATAATTGATCTCAGCCATTGCCTCCCTCCCTCGCTCGTTCGCTCTCAGCTACTCCTGATATTACGTATAGCATGCAGCTACTCCTGATATTAGCCATTCTTATATTTGTTTATGTTAGAATATAAGTAATCTTGTGCCTTAAATTTTCCACCGCCTTTTATGTAAAAGTATTGTTACTATATTTTACTGTTTAGCGTGACGATGTTATTTGCAATTGAATCCTATCTGAATTTTGTCTTTGAGAGTAAAAACCCAAAGCATCTGTAAGTTTGTTAATGAGTTGGTTGGTTGGTCGGTTGGGTAGCTTTTTTAATGCCCATTTGTTTCACTGTTCCATTCAGATTCCTGGCTACAGTTCTGCCAATTCTGATCAGTGCCATCGTACTCGGCAAGCATCTAGGTGAGTGCAATCATGCCCATACTGTAGATAATTCGTTAATACCAAAAACCACTTGTATTTTTAATCATTCCTTCGATTCGAAGTTTACAAATCCGTCGCTGACTAGAGTTGGGATTAGAACAATGGTTATTAATCCTTCCTTCGCTTCGAAGATCTTTTTCTAATTAATTTTGCTCTAATCTCAATCTTGCTCTCGCTCTCTCTCGCAAACCCTAATGGAGATCGTCCTCGAGTACGATCTCTCTCTGGATGTATCCCAGAGTGACCCTGAAGTGTACGGAAATTTTATCCGGGGAACTCGCATGCGTCTCCACTCAGAATTTCTTAATCCTGATGAGACGAACGAGGAGATGAAAGTCTCCCTGCTCAGCAAACAGGTAAATTGTTTTATCACTGTGATGTTGCATTTCGAAAACATGTATCAAACTTTTTTCCGCATTCGTTGTCTTGATGTTTATCTAGTAGGCTTCGCTAAGTTCGACCAGACATCAAATAAATTATGCTAATATGAATTTAGGAACCCGAACAAGACGCACATTATTACACACTTAACTTTTTTACCCTGTAGAGAGAACTATCATGATATGCAAAGGTATGCGGGAATCAAGTTAACGGAGTTGACAGTCGGACACTTCTAGCTGTAAAATTTAGTCTTTGCCCTCCACATAAGTTCTTATGACGATAAAGTCATCGTAAAGAATTTACTAGTTATATGTGTCATGATCCCCGAGTCCATACGTTTTAAGGGGTTATTTAAATCTATCTTAGCATGTTTTGATTCTGGATATCAACTTTCAGAATATGGCATTGATCTTATCACCAACTGGAGCAAAATGTCCAAGCTTCTGACCGTTGTAGGTGAGCGATCAGATGTTTCTGTAGTTTTTAATAAGGAGGCTAAATCAAGGATCAGCATGTGTATTGATCACATGCCATTGCCTTCTAATAATGAGGGAAAAGGGAAAAATAAAGCATTCCCTTTTGATGATGATAAAAAAGTGAGAAGTAAAATAGGAGGAAGGACAATGGAGCAAGGGTTACCTAATTTCCAAGATAGAATCTTCAAACATCGAGCCCTGGATCCAATGATCAAAGCCCCAAATAAACTTTTTCATACCTGATAAACGAATCTGAACACAAAACCCAAAAACTAAAGCAAAATTTAGGGATCGCGAATGAAATTTAAACCATCTGATCAACCCTAGTCAAATCCCTAAAACACCACCAAAATTGCTAAAATTGTGATATTCAATAGTAAGAGACATATAATCAGATCATGGATTCGTAAACCCTAGATCCCCCTATTAGAAACCCTAATCCCAACCAATCATCATCATCTACAACCAAATTCCAATCCAAAACCCTAACACTAAGTCAAAATTCTAAGTATCTGAATCAAATTCAAACAAACTGATCAACACTAGCCAGGTCCCTAAACACAACCGAAATCGCTAAAATTGAGCTCAAAATCTAGGGTTTCAATCCGACAAATCAAAAGATAACGAGATCAATTCGATACCTTGAAGCCTTTCAGCATAACCTCCTTCGGTTCGCTGGGAAGGAATCCAGGGCCAAAATCTCACCGTAATCGAGGGAGGAGGGATTTAGGAGAATCGAGGGGGGGAAATTAAAATAAGTTTCCCTGATATATACCCAAGTTGTCGGTATACTGTTTAGTTTAATAATTTGCATAACCATACAATTAGGGACTGTTTAGTTTAAAACAAAAGGTAACCAAATCAATATAACTCTAGTTATAAAAGAAACAAACAATTTGTAGCTTTAGTTGTAGTTATACCTGTAAATAACCAAAACGCCCATTAATGTACTTATGATGATGGAAGAAATGACAGGAGAATAATTATTATCGGAGCAAGTGGCTGGTCTGCAGCCGAAAATGATAGCAAAGAGGTACAACTTTTAAGAGAATAAATCTTAGAATTCTGATGTTGATATATCATGTTCCACCAAAAATGGGCCTTGCAGACCAAAGGGATTTTCATGTTACCACAAGTTGCCCAAGCTTATAATCATAAAACAAATCTTCTTTCAGCATCATCTTTGTCATTGTATTTATTTATTTTTATTTTTTGGGTGAGGAAATGATCATGGCCAAGGACGGCAATTCTAGTTTCACATCAGCAGAAATAGAATCCAAAGATATGATTAGACTTTCACTTCTAAGTCCTTTTCAAACGCTGCTAGCTTCTTAATGGCCCTTTTTTACCTTTGCTGAGAGAAAAGGGTGGAGTATTCTTTAATGGCTTTGCTTCCAGCTTCATAACATGCTCCAAAATATCGACAGAAGTGTTATTAAAGGAGGAGGAATAACATGACTGAAACAAGTCATAAGATTGATATTTCAAGAAACAACATGCTGTTAACACATTTTATGAACAAGAAATGTGTTATAGGGTTAGAAGATACTGACCAGAAACAAAACCCTCAACTTGCAATCTCTATTGTGTTTGTCAGAGAGATACTTCTACCAGTTTTCCAAAAACTACAAACATGTGTTAGCCTCCAACGTATAGAATGAACCTGAATCAGGACACCTATCACAGAGAAAAAATGAAAAAGATCCCATCTTTATCCATAATTTCAAGATTTAAACAGATGGGCAGTCTAGAATCTTAGATTCATGCTAATCTAAAAGGAGAAAAAAATGACCTTTTTACCTTGTAGATTTGGCACGTGACCTTGAGTCTGCATTGAGTAGGGCTGAGCACGGTTCGGTTCGGTTCGGTTTTTAACAAAATTTGAATAACCGAACCGAACCACCTATAATTCAAAACAGAACCGAACTGTTGCAAGTCGGTTCGGTACGGTTCGGTTCGGTTTGTTCAGTTCTAACAAATTCAATGCAGACTACAAAGGAGGCATGCAAACCACTTACAGGTATCTAACTTCATAATGTGAAAAATTAGATACAGAACCTCTAAGTTAGAGAGAGACCAATAGCTGATGAGATTTATAATGATAATAGTATTATAGGAATGTAGAATGCCTGCACAGAGAAAAAATATCACCTAATATTTCCGATCTTCTTTGAAGAGAAATTTTCAAAACAATAAACTAGCAAATTAAAACAAAAGGACAAAACCCAAATAATGAAATTAAAAAATTAAAAGAGCACGGTTTTCTTCATATTTTTCTAGATTGTATATATGGGAGTTCAAGTCGAAGGAGGCAAACAAATATTCTAACTAGAACAAAGAGCTGCTAGAAACAAAAACTAAATCATGAAATGAGAAAAAAAATTAAAACTAATTAACCCAAATCACGAAATCATCATTTACCTGCAGGTGTGATTTCACAAGAGCTCAACTGCATACTCTCGTGGTCTAAAAACAAAACATCAGCGTACCCAGATAGATCCAGAGGAGATGTTTCAGCCTCGGATGTCCCCATGAAGACTGCGGAGTGCCGAGCGGCGGATCTGAGGAACTGAGAGAGTCGGACAGAGAGTGAGAGGGAGAGTCGGATTTTAGGTGAAGTGGCGGCTGGCGGCGAAGTGTCGAGCGGCGGATCTGAGGAACTGAGGAGAGTCGGAGTCGACGGAGTGAGAGAGAGTCGGATTTTAAGTGAAGTGGCGGTTGGCGGCGAAGTGCTGAGCGGCGGATCTGAGGAACTGAGGCGTGAGGAGAGAAGAGAGGATGAGGATCTGAGGAGGTGCGGCTGAAATTGGGAATGGGATTTTTAGTTTAGGGTTCACGAGTGAGTATATTTGAGGGACGGGTCACGGGTCGGGTGTTAAATGGTTAATGAGTATTGGTCGGTTCGGGCGGTTCGGGTTGAAAATTTTTCAACCCGACCCGAACTGCCTTACAAGTAAAACCGAAATTTTTGGGTCGGTTCGGGTCGGTTTTTTCGGTTTGGACCGAACCATGCTCAGCCCTAGCTAGAGCTAGGGTTAATTTGTGTTTTGAGGCTCTAATACCATGTTAAACAGGTATTGAAGAGAACTCTATTGATCATAGAAATTATAGGACATATTACAGGATATATATATACACAATACACACTACACTAGGCGGCGGCTAGGACGCGGCTAAG